CTCTCCATCTCTCATTCTTTCAGTTAGTGCTGAAAATTTTGGTGTTGTTCGAGAGAGCGAGAGAGAGAGAGGATTAGCCTCTCCCCTTCTACCCTCTGCCCTCTGCTTTCTGCCCTCTGCCATGACTACTTAAGGCCACGGCGGCCTCTCCATCTCTCATTCTTTCAGTTAGTGCTGAAAATTTTGGTGTTGTTCGAGAGAGCGAGAGAGAGAGAGGATTAGCCTCTCCCCTTCTACCCTCTGCCCTCTGCATTCTGCCCTCTGCCATGACTACTTAAGGCCACGGCGGCCTCTCCATCTCTCATTCTTTCAGTTAGTGCTGAAAAATTTGGTGTTGTTCGAGAGAGCGAGAGAGAGAGAGGATTAGCCTCTCCCCTTCTACCCTCTGCCCTCTGCTTTCTGCCCTCTGCCATGACTACTTAAGGCCACGGCGGCCTCTCCATCTCTCATTCTTTCAGTTAGTGCTGAAAATTTTGGTGTTGTTCGAGAGAGCGAGAGAGAGAGAGGATTAGCCTCTCCCCTTCTACCCTCTGCCCTCTGCTTTCTGCCCTCTGCCATGACTACTTAAGGCCACGGCGGCCTCTCCATCTCTCATTCTTTCAGTTAGTGCTGAAAATTTTGGTGTTGTTCGAGAGAGCGAGAGAGAGAGAGAGGATTAGCCTCTCCCCTTCTACCCTCTGCCCTCTGCTTTCTGCCCTCTGCCATGACTACTTAAGGCCACGGCGGCCTCTCCATCTCTCATTCTTTCAGTTAGTGCTGAAAATTTTGGTGTTGTTCGAGAGAGCGAGAGAGAGAGAGGATTAGCCTCTCCCCTTCTACCCTCTGCCCTCTGCTTTCTGCCCTCTGCCATGACTACTTAAGGCCACGGCGGCCTCTCCATCTCTCATTCTTTCAGTTAGTGCTGAAAATTTTGGTGTTGTTCGAGAGAGCGAGAGAGAGAGAGAGGATTAGCCTCTCCCCTTCTACCCTCTGCCCTCTGCTTTCTGCCCTCTGCCATGACTACTTAAGGCCACGGCGGCCTCTCCATCTCTCATTCTTTCAGTTAGTGCTGAAAATTTTGGTGTTGTTCGAGAGAGCGAGAGAGAGAGAGGATTAGCCTCTCCCCTTCTACCCTCTGCCCTCTGCTTTCTGCCCTCTGCCATGACTACTTAAGGCCACGGCGGCCTCTCCATCTCTCATTCTTTCAGTTAGTGCTGAAAATTTTGGTGTTGTTCGAGAGAGCGAGAGAGAGAGAGGATTAGCCTCTCCCCTTCTACCCTCTGCCCTCTGCTTTCTGGCCTCTGCCATGACTACTTAAGGCCACGGCGGCCTCTCCATCTCTCATTCTTTCAGTTAGTGCTGAAAATTTTGGTGTTGTTCGAGAGAGCGAGAGAGAGAGAGAGGATTAGCCTCTCCCCTTCTACCCTCTGCCCTCTGCTTTCTGCCCTCTGCCATGACTACTTAAGGCCACGGCGGCCTCTCCATCTCTCATTCTTTCAGTTAGTGCTGAAAATTTTGGTGTTGTTCGAGAGAGCGAGAGAGAGAGAGAGGATTAGCCTCTCCCCTTCTACCCTCTGCCCTCTGCTTTCTGCCCTCTGCCATGACTACTTAAGGCCACGGCGGCCTCTCCATCTCTCATTCTTTCAGTTAGTGCTGAAAATTTTGGTGTTGTTCGAGAGAGCGAGAGAGAGAGAGAGGATTAGCCTCTCCCCTTCTACCCTCTGCCCTCTGCTTTCTGCCCTCTGCCATGACTACTTAAGGCCACGGCGGCCTCTCCATCTCTCATTCTTTCAGTTAGTGCTGAAAATTTTGGTGTTGTTCGAGAGAGCGAGAGAGAGAGAGGATTAGCCTCTCCCCTTCTACCCTCTGCCCTCTGCATTCTGCCCTCTGCCATGACTACTTAAGGCCACGGCGGCCTCTCCATCTCTCATTCTTTCAGTTAGTGCTGAAAATTTTGGTGTTGTTCGAGAGAGCGAGAGAGAGAGAGGATTAGCCTCTCCCCTTCTACCCTCTGCCCTCTGCTTTCTGCCCTCTGCCATGACTACTTAAGGCCACGGCGGCCTCTCCATCTCTCATTCTTTCAGTTAGTGCTGAAAATTTTGGTGTTGTTCGAGAGAGCGAGAGAGAGAGAGGATTAGCCTCTCCCCTTCTACCCTCTGCCCTCTGCTTTCTGCCCTCTGCCATGACTACTTAAGGCCACGGCGGCCTCTCCATCTCTCATTCTTTCAGTTAGTGCTGAAAATTTTGGTGTTGTTCGAGAGAGCGAGAGAGAGAGAGGATTAGCCTCTCCCCTTCTACCCTCTGCCCTCTGCTTTCTGCCCTCTGCCATGACTACTTAAGGCCACGGCGGCCTCTCCATCTCTCATTCTTTCAGTTAGTGCTGAAAATTTTGGTGTTGTTCGAGAGAGCGAGAGAGAGAGAGGATTAGCCTCTCCCCTTCTACCCTCTGCCCTCTGCTTTCTGCCCTCTGCCATGACTACTTAAGGCCACGGCGGCCTCTCCATCTCTCATTCTTTCAGTTAGTGCTGAAAATTTTGGTGTTGTTCGAGAGAGCGAGAGAGAGAGAGAGGATTAGCCTCTCCCCTTCTACCCTCTGCCCTCTGCTTTCTGCCCTCTGCCATGACTACTTAAGGCCACGGCGGCCTCTCCATCTCTCATTCTTTCAGTTAGTGCTGAAAATTTTGGTGTTGTTCGAGAGAGCGAGAGAGAGAGAGGATTAGCCTCTCCCCTTCTACCCTCTGCCCTCTGCTTTCTGCCCTCTGCCATGACTACTTAAGGCCACGGCGGCCTCTCCATCTCTCATTCTTTCAGTTAGTGCTGAAAATTTTGGTGTTGTTCGAGAGAGCGAGAGAGAGAGAGGATTAGCCTCTCCCCTTCTACCCTCTGCCCTCTGCATTCTGCCCTCTGCCATGACTACTTAAGGCCACGGCGGCCTCTCCATCTCTCATTCTTTCAGTTAGTGCTGAAAAATTTGGTGTTGTTCGAGAGAGCGAGAGAGAGAGAGGATTAGCCTCTCCCCTTCTACCCTCTGCCCTCTGCTTTCTGCCCTCTGCCATGACTACTTAAGGCCACGGCGGCCTCTCCATCTCTCATTCTTTCAGTTAGTGCTGAAAATTTTGGTGTTGTTCGAGAGAGCGAGAGAGAGAGAGGATTAGCCTCTCCCCTTCTACCCTCTGCCCTCTGCTTTCTGCCCTCTGCCATGACTACTTAAGGCCACGGCGGCCTCTCCATCTCTCATTCTTTCAGTTAGTGCTGAAAATTTTGGTGTTGTTCGAGAGAGCGAGAGAGAGAGAGAGGATTAGCCTCTCCCCTTCTACCCTCTGCCCTCTGCTTTCTGCCCTCTGCCATGACTACTTAAGGCCACGGCGGCCTCTCCATCTCTCATTCTTTCAGTTAGTGCTGAAAATTTTGGTGTTGTTCGAGAGAGCGAGAGAGAGAGAGGATTAGCCTCTCCCCTTCTACCCTCTGCCCTCTGCTTTCTGCCCTCTGCCATGACTACTTAAGGCCACGGCGGCCTCTCCATCTCTCATTCTTTCAGTTAGTGCTGAAAATTTTGGTGTTGTTCGAGAGAGCGAGAGAGAGAGAGAGGATTAGCCTCTCCCCTTCTACCCTCTGCCCTCTGCTTTCTGCCCTCTGCCATGACTACTTAAGGCCACGGCGGCCTCTCCATCTCTCATTCTTTCAGTTAGTGCTGAAAATTTTGGTGTTGTTCGAGAGAGCGAGAGAGAGAGAGGATTAGCCTCTCCCCTTCTACCCTCTGCCCTCTGCTTTCTGCCCTCTGCCATGACTACTTAAGGCCACGGCGGCCTCTCCATCTCTCATTCTTTCAGTTAGTGCTGAAAATTTTGGTGTTGTTCGAGAGAGCGAGAGAGAGAGAGGATTAGCCTCTCCCCTTCTACCCTCTGCCCTCTGCTTTCTGGCCTCTGCCATGACTACTTAAGGCCACGGCGGCCTCTCCATCTCTCATTCTTTCAGTTAGTGCTGAAAATTTTGGTGTTGTTCGAGAGAGCGAGAGAGAGAGAGAGGATTAGCCTCTCCCCTTCTACCCTCTGCCCTCTGCTTTCTGCCCTCTGCCATGACTACTTAAGGCCACGGCGGCCTCTCCATCTCTCATTCTTTCAGTTAGTGCTGAAAATTTTGGTGTTGTTCGAGAGAGCGAGAGAGAGAGAGAGGATTAGCCTCTCCCCTTCTACCCTCTGCCCTCTGCTTTCTGCCCTCTGCCATGACTACTTAAGGCCACGGCGGCCTCTCCATCTCTCATTCTTTCAGTTAGTGCTGAAAATTTTGGTGTTGTTCGAGAGAGCGAGAGAGAGAGAGAGGATTAGCCTCTCCCCTTCTACCCTCTGCCCTCTGCTTTCTGCCCTCTGCCATGACTACTTAAGGCCACGGCGGCCTCTCCATCTCTCATTCTTTCAGTTAGTGCTGAAAATTTTGGTGTTGTTCGAGAGAGCGAGAGAGAGAGAGGATTAGCCTCTCCCCTTCTACCCTCTGCCCTCTGCATTCTGCCCTCTGCCATGACTACTTAAGGCCACGGCGGCCTCTCCATCTCTCATTCTTTCAGTTAGTGCTGAAAATTTTGGTGTTGTTCGAGAGAGCGAGAGAGAGAGAGGATTAGCCTCTCCCCTTCTACCCTCTGCCCTCTGCTTTCTGCCCTCTGCCATGACTACTTAAGGCCACGGCGGCCTCTCCATCTCTCATTCTTTCAGTTAGTGCTGAAAATTTTGGTGTTGTTCGAGAGAGCGAGAGAGAGAGAGGATTAGCCTCTCCCCTTCTACCCTCTGCCCTCTGCTTTCTGCCCTCTGCCATGACTACTTAAGGCCACGGCGGCCTCTCCATCTCTCATTCTTTCAGTTAGTGCTGAAAATTTTGGCGCTTCGCGCCGGCGGCCTTCGGCCGCGCGTTAGGGATGGCAAGGGGAAACAACAAGCAGTAGTAGCTTAGGCAACCGATACAAACAAAGCAAGCATAGACACTTGGCAAGTAGAGGATGGAACAGGTCTATACGCGCAAGGGGGGAGCGCCTACATGCGGTCCGCCTCTACCGCAGCGAGCATTCCGCTCGTGTTCAACCACAACTGGCGGACCACAGACACGGTGGCGCCTACAACGTCAACAGGAGTACCAGGGCCTGCTACAAACCTAGGAGCATTCGGAGGCGACACGGTTACTGCCGCAGGCAGAGGCGCAGGAGCATCCGGAGGCGACACGCGAGCCGACTGAACCTCCGCCGAGCTCAGGCCGACGCTGGTGGCTGGAGGTGGCTGGTAAGTCGGGTCCGCACCAGCAGCTGCAGAAGGCGCCACGGCAGGCGCAACCGGCGGCGGCGCGGAGGCTTCTCCAACAGCAGCTGACGACGCCGCAACCACAGGCACGGGCGCCGGCACCACCACGGGAACAGGTGGAACCACCGGCGCAGGCGCAGAAGCGTGCCCAGGATCAGACGCTACAACAGGCCCAGGGGCAGGGGCGGGAGCGGACGCCGGGGCGAGCGCGGGAGCAGGTGGCGACGCGGGCGCATGACCAGGCGCCACGCCAGGGGCAGACAACTTTCGCCTCGGCGTGAACGGGCGGGGCAGCAGGCGCGAGGACACGGCCAGCCTGAGTCACCGACGACGGCGCAGATTGAGGTGCGGGAAGAGGCGACATCCCCACAGCCGCAGGCGCCGGGGATGACGAGGCAGGAGGGGCACTTGCGGCCGACGCCACGACAAAGGGCCGCGGCGAGTATGAATAATACTCGTCGCCAATCGACACGGGCATCGCGGGGCGGACGAGGGTGCGGACGAGGAGGAGCGACTGGAAGGGGAGGCGGACCGGAGAATGGCTTCCAGAGGGAAGCACGCCGCGCCTTAACTCGAAGAGTGGAGGACGATGAAGCTGAGGAGGAGGGGAGAGACCCTACCTTTATAGCAGAGGTGGTGGAAGAATCCACCACGGAAGAATCGGGGGAGCTAGTGGAGGAGGAACGGGAAGGCAGGCGCCGGGGAAACCCAACACCATGCCGAGCCGCCCCAATCCCAGCTGCAGCAGGTGGCGAATCGAACCAGCCAGAACCGGACACCACCGCATCAGAGACCCGCCAATTCTCACCTGAACAACTGGCCAAGGACTTGGTGCGGTTCGGCGAAGTGGAAAATTGGGACCTGTCCCCCCTACGCGACAGTCGTCAGCCCCCACTGTCGCGTAAACTCCCCGCTGACATTCGCCCACTTTTCGCAACTGCCCTCCTGACACCACTCCTCCACCTCGCGCGGAACCCTGCGTCGGTCGCAGGCTGGCGCCTGTTACTTTTTATCCCGCGCCTCACCCTTCGCCTCCCGTCAACAGAGGAGCCCGATTGGCCGGCAGTCAAGCAACGACTTCGCCAATTCAACAAGGGCGAATGGCAGCAGCTGTACGACGCGGCGGTTACCGCAATTACCGGACCCCACCCACTTCGTCATGCGCCAGATGCCATAGGCAAACGAGCCAGAGCAGAAGGCCTTGCACGAAAAGGCGGCCTTCGCAGGGCGATCCTCGCCCTTGAGTCAACGCCGGTCGCTGACCCATCTGCAACTATCCTCGCCGCTCTCAAAGCGAAACACCCCCCCGCGCCACCTGGATCCATCGATTGGAGCATCCCCGATTCTGTACAAGCTGCTTCGATGGAAAAGGGGGACTTCATTAAAATGTTATGTCGCTGTGAGAACGGGGTGGGAGGAGGACCTTCGGGTATGACATTTGAACACCTCCGCGACGCATCACTCGCCAACGCGGGGGTTACCACACACCTCCATGCCCTCGTCAACACCATCCTGCAAGGCTGGCTGCCTGAGGAGATTTGCTCGTTACTAACTGCTATCCGCCTCATAGCTCTAGCAATGCCAGACGGAGGCACTAGACCCATCGCGGTAGGCGAATGTATCCTACGGTTAGCAGCTAAGTCCGCCCTCTCAGCCCTCTCTCACGAATGCCACGCGCACTTCCTCCCGCTACAATACTGCGTGTCCGTCCAAGGCGGCAGCGAGGCGATAATCCACGCCGCGAGAGCCTTCACTAGCGCAAACCCAGACGCGCTTATCCTGCAGGCGAACCTAGCAAATGCGTTTAACTCCATTAGCCGCGCAGCGATAGTCGGCGCACTTCGCGACACAGACCTCCAGGGCCTCCTTCCCCTCGTCAAAATATCCTATAGCCGCCCAGCCCAGTTGTTCCTTGACGCGGGATTCGGTTGCGAGGCTCTGGCTAGCGAAACGGGTGTGCGACAAGGTGACCCGCTAGGCCCACTACTGTTTGCCGCGGGGATCCACCCTATTCTTTCCAGGACAGCAGCAGCTTACCCATCAGTCCTGTGCCTCGCGTTTGCCGACGACGTCACATTCCTGGGCCCTGCTGCGGATTGTTCTGACGCCTTCCGTCACTTCACGACGGGATTGCGCGATGTGGGACTGGCCCACAACCCAGACAAGTGCGCCGCATGGAGTGCAGCAGCCACAGATCCCCAGCAGCTGCCTGAGGGGGTCCCGCTGCACGCGGAGGGATTGCGGGTGCTTGGGAGCTTCATAGGCACAACGGACGGGGCAGCGGCCTTTCTACGGTCACAGCTAGAGACAATGTCGTCTCCACTACCCCACATAGCCACCATGGACCCACAAGTAGCGGCGCTGCTACTAACACGGTGTATCTCCAGGCGCATCTCGTACCTAGCACGCACCACACCTCTTTACCTACTACCCGAAGCTGAGTGGTCAAGATGGGGCCGGGCAATGCTGTACACGCTTCTAGATGCTTGTGGGGTGCGCCACCCGAGAGGCGAGGCAGAGGACGCACGGATCTGGGACCAAGCCTCACTCCCTCCAAGCCTAGGCGGCCTGGGGCTCGCCGACCCTACAGTGGAAGGCCGATACAGTTTTCTGGCGAGTCTCGTGCAGGCACACTCACTCCTCAGCCAGTTGGGGGGACAGGCAGGGGCCACACTGACAGCAGCACTGGACACCCCCGCAGCAGCTGATCGCAGCCCCACCGAATTGCAGCAGTGGATCAGGGACTGCAGGGACAGCCTCTCGCAGGAGGCGAGGGATCTTCTATCGGCGGAGCAGACAAAACCCAAGGGCCAGCTGCAACACCGCTTAGCACTCCTAGTCCAAGGGGGCCGGAGTGCCGCCCAGATCACAGCATCCAGACAGATGGAATCTGAACCCCCGGCTGGGCCACACCCAGCGCCTCATGTCCCTCACGGGCTATGGGGCGGGGGACTGGCTCATGGCAATCCCCTACATGCCTTCCCTACGCCTATACCCCTGCCACTTCAAGTTCGCCCTCCAGTTTAGGCTCGGCCTGCCCCTGTCTGTGCCCGACTGCTGCGACTGCACCAAACGGGTCCCCATCCTGGATAAGAGGCTGCCGAACCTCTTGCTTAGGTGCGGTACAGGGCACGGTCGGACCAACACCCACAACGAGCTGCGCGACGAGTGCATCCGCATGGCGCAGGATGCAGGATTTGCCGTGCACAAGGAGTGCACGGCCTTTAGCCCTGTAGACAACAAGAAGGCCGACTTGGCCTTCAGGGATGGGAGCTCGGGGGCGGTATGGCTAGCAAACATCACCATAACGGACCCCATCAGTAAGCGGGATGAGACCGCAAGGAAAGGGAGGGGTTGGGCAGCACGGAAGGCAGCGGACAAGAAGATAGACCTCTACCACGGCAGGGCTGAGTTTGCTGAATTTTTCCCCTTGGCGGTAGAGACCTACGGCTGCCCGTGTGACGAGGTGCCCACGTTCCTGAAGCTGCTGGCGGACAAAGCTGCACGGAGAATCTTCAACGCGGACCCGTCTATCTACCAGGCCGCGAAGATGCTCCACCAGTTCCGCCAGCGCTGGTCGGTCGCACTCCAGAGAGCCCAGGCGGTGAGCTTTCTCACAAAGCTGAACCAGGCGGCAAGGGCAGAGAACCCCCCACTGGGGGGACCAGAGGGGGAGGTGAACCCGGGGGACTGCTTCGCAACGCTCGAGGCACCGTAGATAGGGGGGGGGGGGGGTTGGGGAGGGACTAGGGGTGTGTGTTCTGAAGGTTTTGTATTGTCGTTGCTCGACCCCGTTTGCTAGTCTTCATGCTAGACATGCCCTGGCCTAGAATATGCATGTTTGTACCGAACCACACTTATCAATACAAAGGACCGTTAGAGAGAGAGAGAGAGAGAGAGAGAGAGAGAGAGAGAGAGAGAGAGAGAGAGAGCTGCTTCAGTGGGAGGGGGTTTATAATCTCAGCAGTTTAGATCTTGTGGGGATGGGTCCTAGCTGGGGCCGTGTATGAGGGGGGTTACGTGACGGCTTGTTGGCAGATCGAGGTGTGTTTTGAGTCGACTCAAAACACGCTTGGTGGCAGATCGACCTGGGGGAGAAGCACAAGGCATGTTTCGAGTACCTGCAATTTGTCCTTTTTTCTTAACATGTACGCAATTCCATTTGTTTCCTTGTAACATTAGCTATTCCTATCTCGAATCGCCCCTCTCCCATTCACCTGCCCCCGTTCCCCCTCTTACCCTTTCCCCCTATCCGCAGCTTCTCTGCAACTTCTATATGGTCAAGCAGGACGGCAGCCCCAACTACATGCGCTCATCTGCATGTCTCCTTCTCTCATTCGCTTCCCTTATGTCGCAACGCGTCCCCCCTCCTCTTCTCCTCTCCTCCCCATCCCCCCCCCCCCCCCGCTGCAGCTTCTCCGCAATTTCTACGCTGTCAGGCAGGACGGCAGCCCCAACTACATATGTGCCCGCATTCGCTTCCCCTGTCTCCCATTTCCCTCTTCCCCCTCTTCCGCCAATTTCCTTTCTTCCCCCGCTGCAGCTTCTCTGCAACTTCTACACAGTCCGTCAGGATGGCAGCCCCAACTACATGCGCTCGTGGTGCCTTGAGGTGGGTGCTGCGGTTGAGGAGGGGTTGAGAGGTATGGGATGGTGTGCTCTGTGTGCTCAGCAGGCCGGCAGCCCCAACTACATGCGCTCGTGGTGCCTTGAGGTGGGTGCTGCGGTTGAGGAGGGGTTGAGAGGTATGGGATGGTGTGCTCTGTGTGCTCAGCAGGCCGGCAGCCCCAACTACATGCGCTCGTGGTGCCTTGAGGTGGGTGCTGCGGTTGAGGAGGGTTGAGAGGTATGGGATGGTGTGCTCTGTGTGCTCAGCAGGCCGGCAGCCCCAACTACATGCGCTCGTGGTGCCTTGAGGTGGGTGCTGCGGTTGAGGAGGGTTGAGAGGTATGGGATGGTGTGCTCTGTGTGCTCAGCAGGCCGGCAGCCCCAACTACATGCACTCGTGGTGCCTTGAGGTGGGTGCTGCGGTTGATCAGGGTTGCAAAGAAGGTGTCGTGTGAGGGGGTGTGCGGGAAGAGAGGGTGTGCGGGAAGAGAGGGTTTGCGGGAAGAAAGGGTGTGCGGGAAGAGAGGGTGTGAACCGAGATTGCTACACTCACTGAGCACAGTAAACAGAGCCTTGCCATTTACTTCTCCCTTCCCTACTCCCTCACACCCTACCCCAGGCATCCAACAATGGATCTGATTGGACGAGCCTTCGGCGCCACTCAGATGACACCTCCCTCTGCCGCCCGGGCCAGTATGCCTCCTGGCCGGTTGACATCTGCACCGCAATCAACCCCACCAAACTGTCGAATAATCCTTGCGATGTAGTTGGCTTGGGGCAGCATGCCTCCTGTCCAGTTGACACCTGTGCATCACCTGCCAAACCGTGTGATATGATTGGCCCGGCGCGATTCTTCCGGATTCGCTTGGTGGGCCCCACAAGTGCAAAGCAAAATGCGTGGAACCTGTGCTTGTGTGGCATAGAGCTGTATGGATTCTTCTTCTGAATACAATCATACTAAAAGCGATCAGCCGATATTATTATCTCCACATCCGCTTGGTGTGCCGGCTCCCACAAGTGCAAAGCACAACGCCTGGACCTGGAACCTGTGGTTGTGTGGCATTGAGCTTTATGGATTTATTGTGCGTTCGTCCGCCCGCTTCGATTCCCTGAGTTATGCATTGTGCACGGATTGCAATTGTCTGGAGTTTTTTATACCTTTTTTTTCCGCTAGAGTGG